TAAACAGAAAGAAGATAAGACTTTTAAACTTTTATTGTAGTGACATCTTGTGGCTACATTTGACTTTCTTCGAGACCTCAAAATTTTTCATTTTTTTTTAATTCTTTAAGGAATTTTTTCATATTTTGTGGTCTAGGACAAAGTAAAAAGATGAAAATGCAAAAAAAATGAAATGATGAAAAAAATGAGCAGGATAAAACAGAAAACAGCACTGCCTGTTCAAAGATCTTTACCAGTATTAACATTCAGTGTTACAAGAGGAAGCTGGAAGAACTATGAACCCAACACATGTTGGGTTCATCACATGTTCCTAACTTTGACAGAAACCTGATTACATGAATATTTTCTGTGTCCTGTCTTCCCTCTAAAGAGTTTTCAGCTCTACATGAAAATTGCTATAAAGGCACAAACAATGAAAGTAGGACCAAAAGAAATTCTAAAAAAATACAGTACCATATTAAAAAAAGGAAAAAAAAATTGCCCTGTAATCTCACTCTCTTAGTTGCTTTTTCTGCATCCTATAGGGCTGTTCACTTTTCAAAGGTGGTAGAATAATGTATTCTAAAAGTATTTAAAGCAAAAATTAAAAGCCTAAAACACAATTTATCAATAAACCCCCCACATATTATACTTACCTTTTTTTTTTTTACTAAAAGCCCTCTAAGTAGAGCAACATCCCTCACTTGTAGTACTAGGCTTTGACACCAAATAAATAATCTTCCTGGTACAAATTAGCTTGTATATCTAAATCAGGAATTACATTTTAAAAATAACAAATAAATCATTTGATGAGTGTGAGAAAGCATAAACAGTCTTCTCATTTCCTTTTTATTTTAGCATTTCAGTCTTTGGTTATTGCCCCTCCATTTTTAACATCTATTAATCTAACAAAGGTTATGGTTGGCAAAAGTTACTCTGAACCTATATGCTGGAGCATGCAAGTAGTAACAGGAAGAAGCAAAGCATGTAAATAATCTTATCATGTTACTCACTTGACTCTGCCTAACTAGTTGGATGGTTTGATACATGCTTTGCCAAGTACAAATTATCTTTCATGGGAAGCACAATAATGCCCCTAATTCTAACACTATTGTGAATATTTCACAATGTCCCATATATCAAAAAAATCGAAGTCATGACAGAGACTATCACACACACAGCACATGACTCATTAAGGAGGGTGAATTGGTCTTAATTCACTGTGGTATAAATTATTTGTTTTATTTAACAACCAACTGCCAGAACGGTGCATTTTTTTTCATCCACCTAGTGTGAAAGAGGCATTGACTGCAGATTTCAACATAGACAGAATTTGCTTAAGAGAAAAGTTAAAGGTTTTCAAAGAGAAACAAAAACCTCAGCTGGCGTACATGTAAATAGAAGACACACTACATCAATTTTTACACCCATGGAAATGTTTGAGTAGCTTCTTAAAACTTAGATGAACACATCAGCTCAGCCCTTGACAGCTCTCACCTTTTAAAACTAATATTTATGTGGAAGGTAACTCAAAAAGGCAACTAACCTTGCCTAATGTTACAGGGCTCATATCCTCTTTATAATCTGTTTGAACAATTGCTCTACTGTATCAGACACAAACTGGCTGTCCTTCAACAACCTGTACACAATCTGACATGTTCTACTCCCTCGCTTTGAAAAATGGTGTGGGAATAAAAACACCCAGCTAGTAATTCTAGCCTCCAATTCTTTGTTGCTCCTCAAAATGTCATCCTATACAGTGATGTCATAAAGCACTTTGGGTTAAAATAATCTTTTTTTAAAAATGAAAAAAATCAAAACACCACCTATCTCAAGCCTGTACTGATAAGACACTTAGTCCGTGATCTTCTGCTAAATAAAAAAAAACCCTCTAAAAAATCGCAGCATGGCTCCCAAAGTGGCTGTTTCCAAAAATATTATCTGCATTACTAAGGCAAAAAGGGAATAAATGTGAAAATTAATGGCAGGAAGACTGAGGAAAACATGATGCTTGCAATCCAGTCCTCTGTACTGTTTGTTCATTAACAAGAACATTTTGGCACTGGGACTTGCCACACTAACTTGAGTATACAACAGAAGCAGCGTTGAGCAATATGAAAATATAATTAGCTTTAAATTAAAAAATATATTGATTAACCAAGTGCTAGTAAATATGAGTGATTTGCTGAGTTACATTATAGTCTTTCTCTAAAAATGGGGCAGGCATTTACGACTTCAAATTAAAAAAATTAGTTTCTTCTTATTATCTGCTGATAAAACAGGGCATATAAAACACCTAAAACATATCTGCCCTTTGATAAGCATGCATAACTTATCTGTAAAAACAGAATATCAAATAATAAAAGAATACATTCTCACATAACCACATATTAGCTCATATTTTAAGTCTGTGCTCAAAAGACTAGAGAACACCTTGTTTTTAGGTGACAAAAACTGCTACACATTTTAAGATATCTATTCTATGCATTATAATATCCTAGAAATAACTAGTTTAACTCATTTAAGTAAACAGAACTACTTTAAAAACATAATCACAAAACACTGAAATTGGAAACAAGAAAAAGTTTAGTAGTCCTTCCTTAGTTCTTTCTAAACAGAATATTAATTAAAAGACAGATAAATAAAAGTCTTTAATACTAATATGTAACTGTATGTAGCCTCCACTATTCAAAGCCTCTCTTCTGGAGGGAATTTGGTCCAAATTCCAGATCAAAGCAGAGCCAACCTTCAAGTTAGATCTAACTAACTATATTAACATGAATAAATAAATAAATAAAAAGTTCTTCAAGTGCAACTCCTCAAAAATTAGTCAGCAATTTTACATCTCTAATTACATGTAAAATTTCTTATTATTTACAGGAAAAACACGTAATAGAGCAGTAAACTACAGCCACTTTTACTTTTGACTAGCAAATGCATTCTTACTACAGTGTAGGCTTCAATTCACTGATGTAAGCAGAGATTACAGAACAGCCAAGAATTATTGTGTTGACTCAACTGAGAACTCACCTTAAGGTGAGTGCCTTAAGGTTACTGCTCCTTAACAATAAGTACTCATAAATTTATGCTACTACATGACTTTTTCACTTGCTCTTCAAATAAGCTGCACCTCCAAGGAATTCCCCACCACTTTGTGGATATGATAATGAGGAACAGAGATTTATAGAATAGAACGTGCTTCCTGTGAATCATGGAGCAGAACAGGAAAAATCTGAGGCATGAGGATTATGTGATAAGGAAATTTGTGCTGTAGATATCTGGACAACTGTATACTTCCAATATGTACTACAATAAAACTGCAAGGGGGAGGTTCCCAGATGTGCTTGTGCATGCGGAAATTGTATCCCTGTGCATATGAAAGCATCACATGAAATGATCTCCCTCCTGATAATCTGCTCCTCTAAAAGAGGGCAAGTCACTTGCAGAGGATTAGGAGCTCACTGGAGAGCTAGAAAGTACAAGAGATCCTTCTGTGCCAAAAAACGCATAAGGTATCTTCTAAAACTTTGGAATAATATTTTCGCCTCCTCTATTCCCTCTCTGCACTTTCAGGCAAGGCTACAAAGGGCCTTCACGAACACAGAACAATGACACTCTCAAAAGACAGCACACTCACACTCAAACACAGATGAAGACACCTGGGAGGGTGGATGGCAAACAGATAAACTGCTGTTGAAATAGAATAGTCACTTTTGGACAAGTCTTTGAATGAGGCCGAAGAATGGCAGCCCTTTTGAAAAAACAATTTAGGGAACTCCCATCACAACAGAGAAGTCCCTAGGCATTATCTTGGTAACATGATGGAAGCAAAAAAACCCTGTGCATACAAACAATCAATCCAATTTGCATGAAGCTAAAGTCACGCACAAAAAAAATACCCCCAGGAAATGTAAAACACCTACCAACTCATGGACATTTTATCAATGCTAGGTGATTTATCACAGACATCTTTAAGCAAAAATTTATCAATACACACACAAACTAAGGGATTGCACCAACCGTTTCAGAAAAACGCTAAAACCAGAATTAAAAAAGTTACAGGGAAAAAGTGAGAATGTATTTGTTTGTATAAGGAAAAATAAATTTCAAGTCACATTCAGTATGAACTTAACGAAAGGACAGCAAGGCTGAGAAAGATTTATCCGAGGAGAGACACACAAGTGACCCGCCAGACCCCTTCCCCATAGACTACAACTGCTTGCCAGCAATCCAATGTTGCAGAGCAGTAAGGATCAGAGAAAGAGGTCATTCTTTGGGAAAAAGAAAGCACTTTCCTCCTTGGGGATTCCAAGAGTTGCTATGCCGAATAAAAACTCTGCATCTCCCAAACAATCACAGTACACGTAATTTTCTCCTTGGGCCTATGACCCAAAACCTAATGACAACAGTATCTTCGATATCTAGAGATTGTGGCCTCTCCCTCAATGAGCTCGATTCAATTTTTGGATAAAATAGCTTCAATCTGATTATAAGCTTTTTCCAGAATTCCCAGCACCTACAGTAAAAAAAACCATCATCACCTTAATACTGCTTAAACCCATCTAGGTATTTTGGGTTACACAAGGCATTGCTCAAACCTCCTTTCACTCTTTCACAACTTTAAAACAGTCTCTCAGTGCATCAGCAGAAAATATATAAGATATATAAAGATACATTTCCAAGTTCTATAGTAAGTATGTAAATGCATTATTAACATTTAGGCAGTCAAGGGATAACGTTTACTACTGAGTGGAAAAAAATTGTATCAGCTGCAAAAAAGCATGAGTATGAGTCAAAAAAAAAAAGTAGATATGGAAAAACCAGAGTAAAAAAGTACATTTTATCAACTATATTTACATTAAAGAAGCATCCACCAAGATAGAAAATTTTAGGATAGCTGATGAAAGTTGTGTACATAATACATTTTTAGAAATACATAATGCAGTAGCAAAATCCTGCAACTTATTCTGGTGCCCACATTCTTTAATGTTAGCCATGCAATGTTACATTGATGAACTAACCTGCAGACACGGGCAGGAAAATACAGGTTCTGCCAGGACCGACAGAGGTACTTAGAGTGATCAATAACCCGAATCCAGTCTAATTCATCCATGGACACCTCAATGTAGTAGGAATAAGACCTATGGATTGTCAGAAAACACTGGTTAGAACACAAGTTGACACATTTTAGGTTTTAAATTTTACACTGTCTTCTGGATTTTCAGTTGTGCTGAAGAGAAGGCTGTTTATTCCTACCCAGATCCCTGTTTTCCAACTAGCTTTGAAAATAAACTGTCATGCAGTTAAGGCATTTTTAGAATGATTTAAAACATCCTTACACTCACAATCTGCATTCACTGTAAGATACCTCAAAAAATGCAACAGAGACTTTCAACTCAATCACAAAAACAATAACAGTTTGTATTCCTTCTGCATGAAATAAAACTAAAGCACTATTTCTACTGCCAAATCAATAAAGGAAAAACCCAAAACAATTAGCAGATCAAAAATGCAAATTCAAACCCTTCACTTAAAAAAAGCGAATTTACTTTAAGGTCATTCTCACTGATGCTGTTCTTCACTTTTAACCCTTTCAGTTCTTTATGATACGTTGTTAAGCCTGTCACTACTTCCTTATACACTCCAAAATTACCTCACGAAAAATAAAAAAGTCACCAACAAAATCTCTGTCTTCCTCTTGCTTATCAATTATGTTTAGCTTATAGTTTCCTGTTAAGAGAAAACAAACCCAAACTAGAACCTTAAAGCCATAGCTAATTCCCTATTATACCTACAATAGTGACACTTATAATTAAGTAGAAACTTGACTTGTGGAGCAACAAGTCATGAAATATATGTTTCAGCATATTTTCTTTCTCCTAATATACTAGTCTGCAACATTCACAGGCATTTCAGCAGCATCACATCAGCACTTAACATCCTTCCCCGCTGATTTCTAAAGAGGAGTTGCTCTTCCAGAGTTCTACAGAAACATTTCTTGTTAAACATTAATGCCTTTGTTAATATTTCCAATTTTCCTGAGGACTGAGAAGAGTAGGTGTCTAAAGTGGTACTGTTTAAAAACCTTTAAAATGTTAGAGAGCTGTTAACAGCAATTGACGCACTTGGAGGGGTTTTTAGATGTTAATTGCATAATCAGCTTTCACATTCACACCAATCAGATGTGTAATATTCACAACCCATATAAATACACTGTGGTTTTGCAACATTATTATTACTAGCCTATGCATATTTGACCATACTAGACTCCAACGTTTTAGAGTTTGAGCAGTTTGGATACAAAAGTTACTGACAGTCCTCTGTGTGGTGAAAATTTAAGAGATTCTCACATCATCATTAGATTAATGTAAACTTGTAACCAATAAATAACATGCTATTTCTTGGTTTCTGAAGGTACCAAACAAAGAAATATTATCTCAAAAATACACTCACATTATCATATGCCTTTTTTTTAAGGCTAGATAGTATCTTTTAGCAGAGGCACTTTGGACAGCTACTCTCCTTAGCAATTTTATATCTAAGACTCAGCTGTTAATAACACCTCTAAAGTAGAGGTGCAAAACACCTGTTATCTTAGATTTGGTTCTGTTAAAAATATCCAGTAGACCAGAGCTTCACAGAGAGAGTTAAAATGAATGAATATTTTAAAAAGATGTTCAAGAAGAAGCAACCATGTGCTTGTACATTATTATGTATCCCACAAGAAAGATGTAGGTAAGTGGTTGGCAATCATTAGACTAAGAGAGTGTAGAGAGATTGGAAAAATCCCTAGAAAAAGCAAGGACAATCTCAGAGCAAGGTCCTTAAGACCTTGGCTGGTAAAACTCTGCATACCTCCAAGGGCTAATATTCATAGCCTCTCTGGCCAAACTCTCCTGAAGTTCAACTACCCCATTATGAATTTTTTTCCTACTATTTAACATGAATTTATCTTTTTGCTTGTGTCCACTCTCAGCACACAGCTGTAAGCAGAGTCTGGCCCTGTATTCTCTACATTTTTCCACTGAATAGGTGAGGAGAGAGCAACAAACTCTCCCTTCTAAGCCTGCTCCTCTTAAAACTGCAGGTTCTCATGTGCTCAAGCCTTCATCATCTTGGTGTCCTGCTGTACTCACTCCAGAAGGTCAGTATCTTACACTGAGGAGCCCACAAATGGACAAAGTACTCCAAATGCCTCCATTTCCATTTATCTTAAGACAGTTGAGCTATTGGAGAGAAAAAACACTGAAAATTCACAGAATCACAGAATATTCTGAGTTAGAAGGGACCCACTAGGATCACCAAAGTCCAACTACTGGCCCTGCACAGGACAGTCAGTGTTAATTCCGGTACTGAATCTGATAGGAAGCAAAAGAAAGACCAGTAGCAAACTTTCCACAGAAACTAAAAAAAATGAGGATGACACAGAAACTAGATCCTAAACCACTGTGCCCTCAGTATTTTATGAAGACAAAAATCTCTAGAGTAGAGGTCCATCTTGTCTGATATTCTGCCAGCAACAATGGTTTGTTCTAAAAATTTCACATCAAGGGCACAGGACACTAAACAACAGATAATTCTGTACTAAGCTGTCCCACAGAGAATATTTTTTCTCTGAGTTTCAGCAGCTGTTAATTAATGCCTTGCAGATGAGGGACATTTTACCAGTAATACAAGCTCTCTAAAAATTGCTAGAGAAATCCTCACTATTAGTATATTTCTAATACTGCTTTAAATTTTATAAAGTTGGTTGGTAATTGGTTCATTAATTTGGTTGATCTTCTGGGACAAGTAGTATAATATTATATGAAGCAGTTCCTTGTACCTTCAGAGTTTTATTTTTTTATCTTTCCAAAAGAAAGATAAAAAAAAGAAATAGAGAAGAAACATAAATTTCAGTTGAACTGAATTAGGAGAATTTACTTGAAACAATTAGATAGCTAAAAACCACGAAGTGGCTTCTAATAACTACTGTAGTTTATTGGTAATTCACATTCTAAATAAATTTTACTATCTCTGAATTACAGAATCACAGAATCATTTAGGTTGGAAAAGACCTCAAAGATCGAGTCCAACCTTATTGTCAAAGTGTGTCATTTCTTATGTTTTGACATATCGAAAAAACCTGAAAAAAATTCATCCAATGTTTATAATGTAAATATGTTAAAAATAGGGTTCTTCCAATGAACTAGAAAATTGTTTTTCAAACTAAAACAATAGCAGTTGATAAATGGCAAACAGAAAACAATTAAAACAATTCCTATTTGGTAAACTTTCATTAGTACAAAATGCATTACCTTCCCTTTTTATGTCAACTTGGCACCTACCGACTGTCTCTGTCCCACAGGAGTATTCGTATGTAGTTGATTATTGATGGCTGGCCTAGTTTAATTTCAATTCCAGAACGGCAGTCGTCACTGATCGGGTGTCGAGAGAAGCCATGATCCAAGTCGTAGTTCTGAGTATCTCCATCCAATAAAGCAGACTTCAGCTCCCCTTTTACAACCTGTGCTCCATACTTCATTGTTGCAATGTTTTCCCCTGGTACTAAGAAGAAAAGGAAATAATTGTTTAACTTTTACACTCTCATACTGCAAATTAGGTATTCCGAACATCAACTCTATTAGTTCAGATCAAAGATTTATTGCTAGTGTCCTTTCTTAGCCAAAAACACATGCTCAAGTGAAAAAAAAAAAAAAGGCATTTTAGAAATTTAGCTTCTTCAATACCCCCTAGGTCTTTTATGGTAATAAAGTTGTGATAATTTACTAGCTTGTAATAGCTATATTCTCAGTCCCCTTTGTGATTTTACAGAATTCTGTTGCACCTTCCTCACTCAATCAATACTTTCCTTCTTGCTTTAAAGTTTTGGTCTGTCTGTTTAGTCTCTCCTTGTGATCAGCTTCTCACCATACCTCTAACACTTTTTTTTGCCCTTTCTGTCTTCTTTTTCTGATTTCAAATGTTGTTCACTTTGGTTTTGGGTGTTTGTTTTGTCTTGTTTTTCATAAGTGGAAGGAAACTAAAAATCACATAAAATGTACAAGATGTGGATCAAATATTCAAGATGCATCATGAATTTGCAGGGTGGTATATAGGGTAGTATAGCTCTTTTGACAGCTGTATCACCTTCTAGTACTCTGCAAAGCTAAATGAACTCGAGTGAAAAAGGCAAGTTTTAGCTACTTGGGCTTTGAACCAACATGGTAAAGCAAATTTTTTTATGCCATCATTTCACAGTAATAAACTTCTTGCATGCTAGGAACATATTCCATCAAGATAACTGGAGATAACTATCCCTACCCTCAGCTACAAAACAATACGCTGATGAACCACCCTCTTCAAAAGACATTTTTAAAACCTTTTTTGAGGAGAGACCCGAAAAAACATCATCTGAAAGCTAAATGATAAAAAGCTGCCCCTAAACTCTTCAGGCAGATTGGTAATAGAAGTATGAATTTCAACAGGGTGTTAAGTTTGACATCTAAAGAACAGAATTTGAAGTGTTGAAATTTTAACTGTATTGTAGCACTACTACATCAAATGCACAATTATGAAACTGTAAGTGGTTGTCAACATTTACACAAACAGAAAAAGTTCCAAGAGCCTGAACGAATACTTAAAAAACAAAGAAATTCCACTCTCCAAAAAGCTGTGATTAGGAGCATGCTATTGTGGAGAGATAAATATTCAGAAAAAGAAGTCAAAGAAAACACCATCTGACTTATTCAAATTTATCTACTGCAGTGTCAATAGAATATCTTGCATGACAAGATTTTTACAGTAACCTAGTATTAAACTCATATGTTTAAATATTAATATCTGTAACTTCTACAGGAGAACAAAGCCGATATGCAGTTAACATTTTCAGAGCTCATCATGTATGACTGAGAATACAGTGTAGGCTCTTAGAGAACATTTAACTTTATTCTTTACTGTAGGCCAAATACTCTCTATAAGTCACACATTAGAGAGCTAACAATACCTTTCTAAAGCTCTAAAGCTAGGTACTCTTGTTGAATTAACAAGAAGCGCAGACTCAAGTCAAGCACAAAGCTTCTCACACTTTTTAGGCTTCCATTAAAACAGTTTTGAAAGACTTGTTTATACTACTTGGGCAAGCATGTAAAGAGTAAGAGAAAAGTCGTAAGTAGTGGAGAAAATATGAGAATCTTCACAGAAGTAGAAAACAAGTTACCATCAACATAAAACCATTTAAATATCATATATCCCACAGCCAATGCATTTTTACTTTTAATATTTTTGTAAAAGCTTTTCTATTAAAATAGCAGTCCCTCTAGGAAAATACACTTTTATTACAATATTTACATTTGAGCAATATCTGAGATAAAAAGCAAGAAAATACATTTACTAATATTATCTGAGAAATAGAAATGGAGTGAACAGTACACAAGATATTTCCTTATGTCAGACCTTTAAAACGTGTAATAATAGTTAAAAACTCAAAAGCACACACTAACCATATCCTCCAGACAACCATAGTCACTAAATGAAAAGGAAACAAACAAAAAACTTGATGCTTACTTAACATGCCCCTGTAGTTGAGGTCCATGTCCCGACTCTCTGAACGAATCTTAATGGCATCTAGGATGGCATCAGGTGACAACAATCCAGAAGGTCTTACAACATTCAGTAGTTCAGTTAGACTCATCAGTGGCAAACGTACTGCTTGCATGATTTCAGCATGGTTTTCCTTGGGGTTATGTTTACACCAGTTCATCAAAGCTTGGAAAATGTCCTTCTCAGGAGCTGCAAATGAGTCCCTCACTACAATACTTAGAAGAGCAGCCTGGAAAAGAGAAACAAGAACAAAATAAAACCACACAAATAAACAGAAATTAAATTGAGTTTTATTTTTTTAATCACGGGAAATTAAAATAAGGCAAAAATTAATGGGTATTTTAACTTGTAGCTATTAAAAATAATCTCCATGGGAGTAACTGCCTGAAACTGTATCTTGTTTTAGTTATGTAAGAATTACAGAATCCACCACAAAAATAACAGGTAATATTACAAAACCACTAGAAAAAATAAGTCAGAATTGAAATGCAGAGAACTACTCAAATCAATATAATACCACTCACTACTTCAAGTTTACTTTGGAATATTATAACAGATTTGGGAGTATAGTTCAAAACATTCCTTTAAACTTAGGCTGCTCTAAGAACACTAATAAGAAAAAAGCGTTGCTCGGAATCACTTTTTTAAACCATTTCTAACTACTTGGGATTTCTATCCCCCCACAATCTCTTTGTCTTTTGGTACAAACTTAGAATAAGTAGGTAAAAACTCCAGTGGCTCTTATTCATGCAGAAAAACCACTGACTGCAAAATGAGAACAAGAACAATCAAACAGCTTTTGGATTTTCACTCAGCTTGCAGAATAATCAGGAGTTTGCATAGAAAAAGGCTAAATCTCTCATATATACCAGGACTGGCTACACCAAAGACATCAAAGTATGCTCTTCCCGATGAATGATGTTTCCTCATTTCTTTATCATTAATATGCTCTCAGAGCTCAGACTGACACACTGCACAGGACAGACAAGAGTGTAGAGAAAAAAGTATTTTTCCCTTCTCAACTAGTAAGTTAGCAGAGCCAAAGTGTCTTATACTCACTCAAGGAAGAGACCATTCACAGCTTTTCCACTAAAAACACTTAAAAAAAAATTGAAACCATCATTTAAGGTCCTCTGCTACTTCATGTGAACATCACTTGAAAACACTCCATCACTGTTATAAACAGCTCAAAGATCACTCCAGAGTAAGTGGAAAATCTGAACTTCATAGACTAGCCTGACTCAACCACAGATATGCATCTAACAACAAAACTAACACACAGAAAACCAAAACCACCCCACCATACCACTATATTCTGCAACTTCAGAACATGATAACAATCAGCAACATAAATCATAGCAATCTCCAGAATGCTTTAGTTTACACAGTAGAAAATCCCCCATCACTGATGTAGCCTATATCAAGAAAATAATGGAGTATCTCCTGCCATCTTCAAATCTTTACATTCCCTGTGTGGCATTCAGAAGCCAAATTCTATTATATCAAGAACAGATGAAATGAGACAAATTAAGATTGCCTGCTCCCATCTTTTAGAATGCTCCATCAGATTTTCTATATTTAGCTATACTGACTGGTCAAAATTAAATACCTAAAAAATTCAGAACAGAGCACCAGAACTTCCAGTTCCGCTTGGCTTGAACATTCCCAACTGTCACAGTTTCAGTAGTATAAAACTACAACTGTTAACTAAGAAATAAATTTTTATTTGGTGCCTGCATTAGTATTTTATCATGAAGTTATACACAGATTAAAATGAAACATTTCAGGCGGGGAAAGTGCAAACAAAACATATACCTTAGAAAGTGACAGGAAGCCTTCACTGGAGAGAACCTCTTGGGCATTTCTATCCATGAACATACAGCACATAAAAGTTAATTTGGGAAGAGAATAAAGACTGGCAACATCAAAGGTCATACAGACATTCTGAATATTAAGTATTGTGCAAAGATATTCAGATGTAGAATCCTCCAGTTCTGGGAATCCATATTTATGTGCTAAGCTTAAAAAGTCTAGAAGAACCTCCTCTTTCTCATCTCGTAGTGTAGCACGACCAGTGTAAATATATTTCAACAGCATGGTAAATGCTTCTGCAGTGGTGTCCTGAAGAGGAATTTCTGCTTCAGGCTGAGATTCTCTCATTCCTCCATACAATAACGCTCTATAAGGAAGATAAAATTTGAGAAATTTATATCCTGACAAAACCCATGCAAAAAGTAGAAAAAGAAAAGAATAACTATTTGCAGCAAGGGGAATACGAAGGGGACATGCTTTAAGAACGTACAAAAGAAAACTCCTTATGCTTGGTATTTATAGTGCGGCTCTGCTCTGAAATAATCTTCTGCACAAGAATAATCTTCTAATGCATTATGTTTTTATCCTACACAATAATACCTGCATCTCCACTTAGAACAACAGTTTGTGAACCAGAAATTGAGATATGGTTCTTGTGCCTTGCTTTTTAAATATAGTACTATCAGTGAGAAAGAAAATTTTAAAAAGTTATTTCATAAAGCAAGTGAAACAAATAGTTTGCAGTGCATCTTAGCAAATCTCAGGATTCTTATCTGCTGTTCCTAAACCCAGCACATGGCAACTCCTGAATCTTGAGAAAAATCAATGATGGTTTGAACAAAATTTGCAATCACACTTTAGTTTAGCTATTAGCTTATCCCTCTGACAAAATTCACTGGAAGATTACCAGGAATTCTATTAAATACATTTAGAGTTAAAAATGCCCAGCTCTTAAAAAAAAAAAGTTGCATTTCAATTACTCCTAGTTTTAAAACATATATTCTAATCTGTATCAGCCAAATCTCTTTAAACATTCAATTCCAATGGATCAAAATGAAACTTTCTAAATGAGTATATTCCATAGAGGCACACCATTTATACTCTGAGAAATCAAAACAATTTTGCAGTAAAACTTGTCTGTTCTCAAGTTATCTTTCTCTTGAATTTGTGAAACTACCTTCAAAATCCAATTTAATGAAGGTCAAAAGAATAACATTGTGACATGGTATTTATCTTTTTCTATTTGGACACAATGATTTGATGTGCTGGGAACCATTCACACAGAAAAGGTCACACTCAATGGACAGATGATTACATACTGAAAAGTTCATAGAGAAACAATGTTTATCTTATTTGCATAAAAATTTCCTGTAAGCCTGACAAAAAGCTATACTTCACCTGAAATAATGGCATCTAGCAGCCAGGATCACCCTGTGTGCTGGAAAACGTTTCTTTTCTACAATAAAGGTAACATCACTATATTCCTCCCCGTTCATTAGAGCACCAATGTGCTCTGACAGAATGTGAACGTGGTCAATCTCACCCACAGCTGTGTAAGGACGAAGTGGATGGCTGTTACTCATCTTGGAGGGATGGTGATACTGGTAGCCTAAAGGGAAAAAGAAAACAACCAGTATTATACAGGGCAAAAACCATAAAAAACGGCAAATATGAAACTGCAATTACAAAAGAAGAGTGACTAGTCTAAGTAACCATATATTACAAGAAAAAGTAATCCAAGAGATTTTCTATTAAAGTTCATTTAGAACAGGATTCAATGCAGCTTGTGTCTACAATTTTGTCCTGTATCAAAAATAACGCGGCCAGCAGGACCAGGGAAGTGATCCTTCCCCTGTACTCTGCGTTGGTGAGGCCACACCTTGAGTATTGTGTTCAGTTCTGGGCCCCTCAGTTCAGAAAGGATATTGAGGTGCTGGAGCGGGTCCAGAGAAGAGCAACAAGGCTGGTGAAAGGACTGGAGCATAAGTCCTATGGGGAGAGGCTGAGGGAGCTGGGGTTGTTTAGCCTGGAGAAGAGGAGGCTCAGAGGTGACCTCATCACCGTCTATAACTACCTGAAGGGAAGTTCTAGCCAGGTGGGGGTTGGTCTCTTCTCTCGGGCACTCAGCAATAGGACAAGGGGGCACGGGCTTAAGCTCCACCAGGGGAAATTTAAATTGGATATCAGGAGAAAATTCTTTACAGAGAGAGTAATCAGGCATTGGAATGGGCTGCCCAGAGAGGTGGTGGATTCACCATCCCTGGAGATTTTTAAACGCAGATCGGACGTGGCACTGAGTGCCATGATCTAGTAAATGGACTGGATTTGGACCAAGGGTTGGACTCGATGATCTCGGAGGTCTTTTCCAACCCAATCGATTCTATGATTCTATGATTCTATGATACAATTCTAGCTGACAAAATATTTCAGAAAATTCCATCACCTTGTTGTTCTGTCAATACATTTACTTAAAAGAAAAAGCCTCCAACAAAAGGAATTAAGAATTAAACTATTTTAAATAATGTTACAATTAGAAAGCAACTTTATCTCAATTAAAATGCACATAAATTATAATGTGAACAACTAAGCATAGTCTTAATTCTCAAGTCTGTACCAAAATCAGTAACAAGTGAAAACATCAGCATTTTTGCAGGATTCTAATCAACTTTCCAGAAGTGGGAGAAAATAAACAATCATGATAACTTTTAATAAATAACAGATAAAGCCTGTTCTTTACAATGAACAATTCAATTTTCTTACTCTTTCCACTCAGTTTTCTTGATGCCTTCTTGTTCCCTCATATAATTAAGAAAAAAAGCCTCTAATATCTCTCAGTCATTAAAATTAGGAGGCACTCTACTAATGTACAGTATAGATTAAGGCATTAGTCATATCTTCTGTTGTGAAGAAACAAAATAATTCCATAGGTTTCTTGGTTTTGGTTTATTTCAGCAACAGAGGCTGGTTGGTTGTTTCAGATAATAACCATCCATATTTTCAGAGAAATCCTCTGTTCTCCAGTAACCACCCACTTTTTGAAATGGGCACATACCTAGTGCTGAAGAAAGATGGTGTACCACATGAAGAAGAAAAATGATGAGGCCGTACCTTGCATACAGCTAACACATTCATTTTTCAAGTGAAATATTCATGACACCACTGCATTTTTATGCTCCATTTAAAAATATTATAAGAAAATATGCATCTGTTTCCAGGCATTTCTACCCCAAAAAAGAAAACACATGCACATGGGGTTAAGTATTATTTGCACTTTAACATGTAGAAATGCTTAACCCAAAATCCAAATACTGTAGAAACAAGGTCTCAAAGAACTTTATATTAAACTAGGAAAAGTGATAGAAATAGAAAATAAAACTTGAGAAAAACAGAGCATATTGAATCGACAATACAGATCACAGCACAAATGGGAACAAAACTCCAGCTTTCCACAGGCTGTCTCTGCCACTTGAATTAGAAGTTGTGTGTCCATGTAGCCATTACAGCACAGAATCAGCAACACTGGCCAAGATACTGGAGGCGGCCTAACCTTGGGAACATAGAATACTGTACAGTCATTCTTCCATTCTGACATGATAGTAAATTAATTTTTATGGGTTTTCATAATAACAGATTATTTCTTCCATTTGCACTTGTTAATTTATAATTAGCTAAGACAGCTTAAATTTCTGCCAAATACACTTCCAGTAACATTTACTTCGTAACAAGCAAGATTAACTTAACTCACATCAGTCCAGCAGCATCTATTTATTCAGGAATAATATTTATCACAACATAAATATCTGAGAGTTTAGAAACAACAGTAAAATTTTAACACCCTTTTTAATTTTAGCAGAAAATTTTAACAGAAAATTTTTTATTACCAGAGGAAGAAACAAAAGCATGTATAATACTCAGCTGCAAAACTTGAGTCTCAGTACTCCTTGAAGATTTCTGTACCTTACACGTCCGTATCTGCTGCTGTTGATCTTCATTTGCAATAGTCAGGCAATCCAACAAATGCAAATTACGTGTACATTATCAAGGAACTCTGTACTATCTCTCTTCTGTTAGTTCCAACTTCGATTGCGTAGGGAAACTGATTTATGATACTTCATACATGTACAAGCATTGACACATTTTGGTTTTAAAATCTATTTTTAATTCCATGTTGTCTACATTTTACTTCTTTGTTTCCTGAATCCACTCTTATCTCTAAAAAATAAGAACACGTACTGTCTGAATAAAACCAAGAGACTGTAAAAGTGGTGAAGACAAGGACATGCCACCAGCTGCATACTAACGTTGCTTCTAAGTAGCTGTGGATGTTTCACATATCAATAGGGTGAAAAGTTCAGGGGAAATTGTTTCTATTTCAGGTTAAATAAACAAATAAAATCAAAAGCATACTTCCCTCTCAAGGGCACATAAACCTCTCTCTAAACAAGAATCGGTGCATAGAAGAGGGCAAAGTCTTAAGTGGGACATTTGCTAGTAAGCCAATGATGCCAGTCCTTATGAACATCAAGACCCTGAACGACAGCAAGCAATGAAAGCAGAAATTTAGAAATCGCCGTGTGTAAGCAGCAAGACAAATCTGTTCTGATGTTTAATGTTCTTCGAATTGCTGGTACCATGTACTACTCTAAACTGTCAGTTTCAAACAAGAACACGCTGATCCCAGGGAATACAGGACTCAAATCATGGCTACAAGCCTCTAGCTGAGGAGCCTTTCAAATGCTTGAAGGACCCAAAGTGCTGGAAACTTATTGCTTTTATGAAACTATATTCATGTCTTATATGTGTTCTATGGGTAATACTAATACACTGAAGAAGCATTCAACAAACTCATTTGTTTACTACCACAGACTTCCAATGCAAGTTTTGTCTGTATTGTGGATTTTTCATACAAAGCAGTCCAGTGAGACAGTCCTGCCTTCAAAATACAGAACCAAATAATACATGACTTCAGATCTTCCCAGACTGGATTAATTATTGGAATGAATTTAGTCAACCCTTGAGGTGATCTGCACACTTCTTGTTTGAGGAAGTAAAACATAACAACCTCTTTAGTTGTGGCAAGTCACTATGAGGTCACAACTTCCCTGTATAGCTAAACATGTGTTTTTCTAGTTGCCATTCAGAAGTATTATTTATGATAAAAAAAGACAGATCCTGCTAGAAGTTTGGGTGAAACCCTTCCTGAAGGTCCCTCTGGCATCTTCTGTCATCAAACATCACCCTTTCAGAGGATACAGGTGTTTACTCATCCTGGCAGTCAAAGAACACGTAACCAACTTCAGAATAAAACACCAAGCATTTACAAGCCTCTTGCCAGCACCATAACCTATTTCCAGGAGGTATTCAGAGCTAATTAACTGCTTCAGGAGTCATGCAGCCTTGTTCACACCACAGAAATAAATAAGCAAAACAGTCTTTTCAGTGGATTTGAGGCACCCTTAAAACTGCAAAATTGGGAAAGGCATTTGTTAAGTTCGAAGGCCTCCTACAAACCACTTCTAAGACCTCACTGAAAGATGCGCTGCTTGGTGTCCATCTTCAACAGAGAGCATGTGAAAAATGCAGCCTAATATTTATTACATAAGGCAGCGTGCTAGATCACACAATGTGTGTCATGGCTAGAAAAACAACAGCCCCCCAGCTTTCGGTTTGCTAGATTTCTATTACAGTAATCTGTAACACGTTATGACATAGAGAAACATGATCTAGAAACTGCAGCAACAACAGCAGAACACCAATGACATCCTTACTAAACAACTCTCAAACCAGAGCTGCAATGAAGACTGATACTCAGTCACTTCTCTCCCTCATTTAGGCTAACTCTAAAGAATTCTCTGAAAAGCAGTGCTGTTTCAGTGAGACATGGAAGAGTTGTTTTTATAGCAGGCACAGAAAAAAGAATACAAGAAATTTATCGTGAATACTTTTTAAAAAAAAAGTTATTTAAAATGAGCTAAGAATGTTTATGTAACAGATAACTCTATCAAAAGTTTAGAAATAAATGCAAGCAAATAGACTATTGTTGGAATTAAAAACTTTATTAAATAAGTCTGGACTACAACTGAGCAAATAACTTCATATCTTTGAAATGCTTAATTCCTTCATCATCTAGTTGGTACCTAGCAAGACAGTATTTTTGTCAGAACTGCACAAAGGGAATTCTTAAAAGTAATTCTCTTACAGTACTATTTTATCTAGATATAGGAATTAGTTCTCAGTTGATCAGAAGGCATTTGAGTAGTATTAAAATTTTTTGTAATTCATTACTTCATAAAATAATTTGCTGTACTGTAAATATATTCCAGCAAAATATTACTTTATGTTTCAATTTCTATTACTGTAGACTTCCAGAATATGACAGATGTGACAGTAAGACTACTGTACAAACATACCACTGTTTCAAATCATATGGTTTGTATTTTTAATGAACACGCATATGTCTTTTTATAAAAAAAATATTTTGTTCTCCTAAGTTCGGTACAGTAAACTAATATCTCAGGAAATAGGAATTTTTAGTAAATATTTCAACATTCATAGGGTATAACCCGAGTAAATACTTTGATTCTGTCAGAACCCTTGCTACAGCAGCTCCTTTGCACTTCTGAGTATCAATAACAAAATTGACTATGAGTGAAAATTTTAACAGGGAAAAAAAATTAAAGCATGTTCTGATACTTAGTAGCCATTAATAATAACAACATAACGAATCTGACTTTACAAATATAGAATATGAAAGCTCAAGAAAATGAAATTCACAAAACTTTCAAGTCTCATCTCCAAACCTTCTGTTGTGAAAGGATTAAAAGAAAAGCAGATGGTAGCATTAATGGTAACTAACCACATCATTCAATGACAGCATTCTAAACAACAATTTAGTACCAAAAAATGTTTTGACTCAAAGCATATGGGAAGTTATGCTTATCTGCAAACACACTCCCATCATTTAAGTGCTGTAGCGCTAAGGTTTCAAGTTCTGCTCTAATACGTATCCCTGGGATAGAAGAGCAGGAGTAAGTTTAGCTAGGTACAAAAAAGAATATACTAAGTGCAGATTATATATTAACACACATATAAATTAACCTGGTTAAAATGGCATACAACTAAACCACTAAGTTAAAAATCTCAAGAAAATACATGGGTCCACTCACCAGCAAAACTCTCTGAAGATCTACAGTGAACGTAGCCCGTAGGCACATTACCAGCTTCCTGAAAATTAGGGTTCTTCGCCATTCTGAACAACAGACAGATTGAACAGCAAGCTCATAGAAACGCTATTCAGCAACATGCAGCTGCACAGCAACAACTGTACCATTTCCTGAAACAATGCATGAAATACATACCATCAGAAACTGGGAGCACTGAGCATTATGACAAAAAAAAAGTGAGATGTGTACTTCTCAAATCAAATTTTTGTGGAAATAAATTCTTTAAAAACACCTCAATTTTATGGGAAAACTTCTAATAACATTAGAATATAGAAACAGAATTTCTTTTTTTGAGTCATCATTACTGACTTTTAACCGTTCACATTTTAAATCATCAAAGAAGATGGTAACATATTACCATTCATTTGTTCATAATAAGTCACAAAAATTTCATCCTGACTTTCCTGCCACAGCATCAATGTCCCTGAAGACAGCGTTTTCACATATAGGTGTCCTAATTAAACCAGATCTATACCAACTGAATCACACATGCTTTATTCCCTACACAGCCAAATCTCTTCAAGTCTCCTTGCCTAGCTGAAGGTTTTGGGGGTTCTGTTTGGCTTTAGTGGTTGTTTTTTTTACAACACTTAAGGCAGTTGCAGATCTTTCTCTTGTGCAAGCCTTTAATTTTATAAACAGGAAAACAAAACAAAATTGCAGGGTGAGGAAATACAGAAATATAGAGGCTTTATTTGTTTAAATACATAACCAACATAATGAGTCTCTCTCGACAAGTATAAATTATTGTTATCCTTCCCATCATACCTGCCAGCAGGAAAAATAAACTGGATTTAACTTGTTAAACAGATGATACCTTGATCTACAAATTCTCTCCTAAGAGTCACTCTCATCTTTTTTAGAATATATGCTTAAGAGAACAAGGGAGGAGAAGGTAGAAAAAAATATTTTTCAGTAGTCTCATTAACTGGAAACTAACCACACCTTAATCCTGCAAATCAGAACCAGGCATTTGACAAAGAAACTCTCCCGGTTTTGAGGAACAAAATGTAATGTGTAAATATTTGTCCCTACCAGTAATGTATGTTATCAATTTTGCCTCTATTATCAAAATATATTTAAAAGCCATTCATAAAAATTCTTGAGTTTTTTTGCTTAAATATGAGTAAACATTCAAAAAGAATAGTATATTTCAAGTATCTGATTTACAGATTTGTAACAGAAGACATGCCAAACACAGCTCCGTCTGCGTGCTGCACTTTAAAAGCAAGAGCAAACAGCATTGCTAGGCAAGTGAGACCACCAGCAGATTGCTAACAAGTTAGCATCAACTTATTTTTTTTTAAAGTCTGATAATACGTCTTGTAAATCTAAAATAATTTCAGTGAATCACAGCAGCGCGAAACTGGTTAACTACTCTGACACCAGAAGGACCAGGGAAAACGGTGTACCATAAGAGCATCAAAATACTAAACTAATAGCTAAAGCAAAAGAAAATTCAAATAAGGCAGCTGCAACAGGGCCTTGACAAGCCAGCCAGGGGTCAAACCAGCCAGGGGGACAGGATCAGGGGGCGGCGGGCGAGGCAGGCGCGGAGCAGAGGGCGGCCGGAGCCGGCGATGCGCCCAAGGTCGCGCCCGAAAAGCCCGGGTCACCGCCGGCCCCCAGCTCCTGGGGCGCCAGGGAAGGTGACCCCGGCCCGCCCGGCCGCCCCCTCCCTCGCCTCCGCGGGAAGGCGCTCCAGGTGAAATCGCCTGGCCGCCAAACGCGTCCGGCGCCTTCCCCGGGCGGCGGCGCTTCCTCGGCCCGCTCCCGGGTGGCTCTGCCCGCGCCCGGCGGGAGCCGCCAGCGGCAGCACCTCTGCCCGCCGAGGAGCCGGAGCGCACAGCCCGGGCGGCCTCGGAACCCCGCTCGGCCCGGGGGTGACGCGGCCGCCGCGCCCGCCCGCGCCCCTCCCGCGGGACTCACCGGCCCCGCCGCGCCGAGGCCTCAACCCCGCCCCGCCGCCGTCGCTGCGCCACCCGGCGGCGCGCTGACGTCACCGGGCAGCAGCAGGCTGCGCGTGACGCAGCGCCCCGCGCGGGTCGCGCCGGCGGAGCAGGAGCGGCAACGCTGAGGCCGCGCCGCCCGTTCCTGGGGCGGCCGCGGGGCGGGGGCGGCCGCGGCGGGGCGGTGCCGGCAGGGCCTGTGCGCTCGTCCGGGCAGCGGGCCTGCGGTGCCCAGCCCTTGTGAAATAGCGACTGGTGCTCAACCTTCCCTGTCGGCTTCATCTGCTGTTCCGTGGCTACATTCAAAATACACAGAATCACTGAATATGCCGAGTTGGAAGGGACCTACGAGGATCATCGAGTCCAACTCCTGGCCCCGCGCAGGACACCCCAGGAATGACACCATGTGCCTGACAGCGTTCCGTAAACGCTTCTTGAACTCTGTCAGGCTTGGTGCTGTGACCACTTCCCTGGGGAGCCTGTTCTGGTGCCGAACCACCTTCTGGGAGAAAAACCTTTTCTTAATATACAGCCTAAACCTCCCTTGACACAGCTTCATGTCATTCATTCCCTTCGGTCCTACCACTGGTCATCAGAGAGATGGTGCCAGGTGTAGCTCCATCCATCTGAGGAGCGGTCCTTGGAGCAAACCAAGCGGTCTGTAGGCCAGTCCCCTGCTCAAAGTTAAGGCTAGATCAGGGTGACTTATGCTTTATGTGACCAAGTCTTGAAAAAATCCCAAGGATGGACATGTTTCTTTCATAACCGTGTGCTTACCTGCCTCTTTTCATTCAGTATGAGTTCTGCTTTCCTGAGTCATGAGAACCTCTCCCACAGAATGTGGGCTTGTCTCTGCGTAACAATGAGATTCACTTCTACTGAACTGCACAAAGCTAAATTTAGGCCCTCCAAGAGGCAAAGCATTACATGCTATTTAATTCCATGCTTTATTTAGCAGAAAAGAAGTCTTACTTGGAAGAAGTAAAAACGACAGTCTGTGAAGAGTGAGAACATCAAATAATTTCAAGTTTTCTACATCTAAAATATTTTAATATTGTTGCATGTTAAAAGAATCATCAAGTGTTTATCTTTAATAGTTTATTCTTAGATTTTATAACTGAGAATACTGGTTTTAATTAGCTTTCAGTATGGCAAGCAGCAGTAACTTTTTTTTAGAAAAAACAAACCCATACCTTGCCCCCTTCATGATGTTGCTGTAACAAGTTTGTAGATGCCAGTGTTTTTTTATTAGTTTCCTCTTTATTATTTCATTATCTATTATGTCTGCACTTTGTCAAGCATATAAAAAAAAAACAAAGGACATTCTAAGATTAACAAACATGCTTAGAGTAACTTTTATGTGATTACTAAGCAGAGAAGCTTTGGCATAGCCTGCTCCCACTCAAGTAGTTATCCACTGCACTACATCTGCACACCCTTTGAATTACTCATCTGATTTATGAACTATCCTGGTTTTAATTACTGGATTCCATACAATTGGGTCAATAGCTTTTCCAGTCACACCTGTATTTTGAAGTGTAGTGAAACAAGACTGAGTGAGACACTGCATGTTGCTAAAATATAGACCACCAAGTGACATGCTTGTAAAACTTTTGAGATTTTCTTAACCAATGCCTTGGTCAGATCTACCTGTATTGACTAAAATAAAACTTAGTCTAAGTGGACTCATCAAACTATTAGTCTAAAATAGTTTTTCTATTCACACAACCTAATGAGACACTCTGAATGGCGAGAAACTGCAATTAGCACCCGTTTAAGTTCTTTTATTTAATTTTAAGTTCTTACTTCAGAACACCAGCAGAGGATGTGTATGAAAAACACAGTTTAGCCATCAAAACCTATATAAGCTGCAATCAACCAAGTGCTTTGTCTCATTGCCACAGCTCTGATGCTTCTTGGCACTATACTTATCCTACTAACTTCAGAAGATACCATACTACAGTTACACTACAATAGGCTTCAGAATAAAGAGCTCTCTGAATTGCTGCTCTATTTTGAAATATTGTGTACCTTTTTTTAAAGTAGGGTGAGGTTTCATGATTTAGTTGAGCTCATCCAACTTTCTGCTAGAACGATCAGCTTTACTCATTTGGGAAACCAAGGAGCATTGAACTGGCTCCTCATTCCTGCATAATAAACTTGGCATAAAACTGAGCATTCAAGAAAAGCTTTTGTCAGTTGCTTAAGCTGAATTAGCCTCCTTGGGGCTGGGAGTGCAATGTCAAAAACCCTGTATTTGGGAGGAAGAAGACTTAAGATCATTGGTGATCCTACAGCTATTACAACAGCTCACTTGGGAGATCTCACTCACTCCAAACATTATCGTTCCTATCAAAGTGATTTAACTTGCAGGAGAATAATCAACTGCACAAGGAGCAAAGGAGGGAACAGGCTAAGTATTACTTCTGTAACTATTAGAGGGCAGAAATAGAGAATGCAACTATGAACCAACAGTGTTTATTGGCATAGAAAAAGGCAACTTGGCAAATATTCAAAAAGGGAAAAGAATCTACCGTATATGAATGGCACTGATAAAGCAGCACCTGACGCACAGTATTTGTAGATACTGTAGAGGCCAGACAGAAAATACCATACAAAGGACAACTTAAAGTATCAGGGTTAGTTCATAAAATAGAAAACTGAAAAAAATATCTTTTGAGTTGCTATGTTGAGTTGCTATCTACCTTCTAATGAATTTATGATTGCTTGCACATCCATAGGTGGTATAAAGCAGAGCAATAGTTTTAACGTTCCTTTTTCCAACACCTCAGATTCAGAAGAAGCATATCTATTTTACTCATTTCCAAGGGTAAAAAAATTATCTTGGACTAGATTTTGTAATTGATTTTTCATGTAGAGTTCTGTAAAACTCCTGAGTCTATATATGCTACTTGTTAAGATGAGGTAGATGAAATTAAAGATGTTTCAGAGAAGGAGACAGGACAGCAACACTTAGCATTTAAGTCATTAACATCAGGTTACTGAAACATCCTGCTAAACAAGTCACACATTTATCTTCTTCACTGTTACTCCCAATTCATGTTATCACCAGATTTCTTCTCAAAAAAGTAAACCAAACCACCTTTCAGTCATCCAGAATTCAACAATCAGCAAAGCAACTGGTCACAGCGCTTTAAAATTATTTTGTAGTTTCGCCCATTGCTTTACTGAGAGGTGAATTGCAATGCCATTACACTATCAATAGTCACATAATTGAAGGAGTTAAGTGCTATTCAAACCAAAATAAGACAAGGCAGAGGCTTTTTTTTCCTTGTTGGAAGAACAACAGGATTTCAAGAACTCCCCTTAATTTTACACTGTTTATAAGATGTGGAACAGCATAAAATCAAACAATTTGTATAATACATGTAAATGTTACATGTTTTCCTGCTGTTTACAGGTATGTACTGTCACTCATTTTGAGAGGTTAGATCACAAAGTCTAGTACTAGGAAACTGTTGTTTCAGATACTATTTTTATTAATTTCCCAATGCAGAATGTACAGAGCATTGAAGTTAAATACAGCCCCAGCCTTGCATTGAAACAAAAATTATGAGCAAGTTCTTCATAGTGTTGAAAGAGACAAGAAGGGTCACTGTGAGTTAGCAGCTATGAGACCTCTTATCTTGGCTGTAAATCAGCAGTCAGGAGCTGCAAGACTGAATTCTTTCTGCTGGACTGATTGCCTCCACAGTTTCTTGTTTCAAGACTGTTTAAGGCTGCTCCTTAAAGAGGTTTGCCTAATATAATATAAGATTAGAACTTCGATAAACATGCTACTACTTAAGTCAAAGTTCACCTGACATTTTATTATTTATACATTCTAGTATACATGATAGGGCATGAAGTCTTCAGGATCTTTTTACTTCAAAAATATTCTTTTTTTCTTCCTTGTTGAAGCTCATCAGTAGTAACAGAGGACTTTTTGTTGTTAGTTTAAATCTAAGCAGTGTGGGATGCAGTGAGTTTCCAGTCAACATATCTTTTGACAGTGTTTAGTGAAATATTAACATAATCAATGTTCAAGAGGAGAATCTGTGTAAGTGCTCTTCCAGAAAATGGTTCAGTATTCCTACATGGAAACAAATTGTGGTGGCATCACAGGACAAGAAAAAAAAGGAATCCAAGTACAGTCAAGTCCCAGGGGATAGTTTTAGAGGAGACTCTGAACATGACTGAATCCTATTAAACAAGAATTTCGCCAACACTGTTACAGATTTTCGCCAGGGGACTGCAAGTGGGCATCTCTTATATACTATACTTCATTAGAATTAAGTGAGAGTCACCATGTGGTTAGGATTCAAAATTTCAATCCAATAGCCATCAGGATCCTGAACAAATGCAAGTCCTTTCATTTTACCTATTAGAGAGATTAAAAAAAAAAAAGATCAAGTTAAGACTACATGACTGGTTCTTAATATCAAATATTACTACTTTGAAAAATATTTTTCTTTTTTTCGTTTTGCATGAGAATTAGTTCAAATTTAGACAGATAATTCTAAAAATATCAAGATTACTTTTTAATCAGCATTAGATCTTTGTATGCTGAACTGTCAATCATACTCTCAAAGCTGTAGGTTAAAGTCACTTCGGAATTCCATCTTTTGATGACTGAAGTCTTTTGCATATGCCCCTGTAAGTGTTCATCCGCTTCATAAAACAGAGAAATGCAGAATAGTACATGTTTGATCAGTAGGAAAAAAACCCACACTGGATCTCCCAGCCTGCTCCACAAACAATGTGAAGTACAAAACTTTTATAGCTTCCTGTCCTACATACCTTCATTCCATATCACTTCACAGCTCCAAGTTAGCAGCCCTCACTTCAAGTCTCTCAAGGTTTAACAGGTGCTGAACAAAGTTCAAACTCTAAAATGCTAGAAATACCAAGTTCAATTCTTAAATCAATAAATCTGTGTTCAAGTTAAGTTTTCAGCTATACTTCCTATATTTGTTTCAGCTGAGAACACAGTGAATAAGATGAAAATCCCTTAAGTCTCTTTTCAATTACTAGTATTAAATGTCTGTTTTGGAACGCATCAGTCCTAAAATTCTCACGAGATTTTCATTAAAGAGAATCCAGTTGAAAAATGCAAGATCTCACCACTCACTTCTGCATTTTAGGCTATTTTGATATTTTACTGAAGGTCAGGTTGCATACAGAAGGCACATAGCAGACTCATGAGCTACTGTTATAGAGATGGATCTATTGCCAGTTTTGCCCACTGTATTAGGAGGTGCAGGTGTAACTGGTTCTAGAACCTTCTAAGCAGTGGCAACTACTAGAAACATGTTACCCAGCTGTCCAGGAAGATCTACTGGACAGAATATACTAAAAACAAAGAAAAAAACTGACTTGCATTTCTGATAGAAGACTTACCATCATCTGGTTTCTTCACAAATTTCACTCCTAGTTCTTCGAACCTCTTACAAGCTTTATAGACATCAGGAACAGCAATTCCAATGTGTCCTGTGCAATAAGGCAAAAAGAGTGAAGTAGACTGTAAATACTGCTGCGTGTTCCAGGAAAAAGTTTGCTCAGTATTTCATCCTCTGCAAAACTTTCACATGCTGTAGTTCACATAAAATATGATTTTGTAGAAGAAAAACACAGCTTCCGAAAAGAAGAGCATTTTGAGTATTAACATTATTCTCCTTCAGAGAGTTGTCCTTTGATAATGACTTTTAGAATAAGAACTTTAGAGTTGAAATATCTCTAGTTGTTTAGAGAAGAATATTATCTGGAGTAGGAAAAAATGAGATTTTTCAATCAACTCCTTTATCTGTATTTCCTTTCTTAAAGCACAGCTACATAACAGGATTTTGTTGCATTTGCTCAGTTCAACAGTACAAGGAGTTTATCATTAATGCTGTATTTGCAGAGACTGACACTAGTGCTATGCAAGGCCTGAGCTTACAAACCAATTCAGAAGCTTTAAATGTCAAATGGATAGATTGAGTGTGAAACTTATTTTACAAGCAGTGACCTTTCAAGCACTCAAGAGTATCAAATTAAGCTACACAAATAATATCCTCAGTGCTACAGACAAACAGAATTGTCCTTCTATCTTAAAATGGGTAACCAGTGGATTATAAATTAGAAATCCAAGTGTAAATCAGTTTAAACACCATGATAATCTAATACACAAGAACTGCTGTTCTTCATTCAGTAGTTAAAATTAGCATGTGGTTGCTTGTCAAATGATTAGACTCTTCCTAAAGAATGCAACTCTGGCTCATTACTCTGAAACACATTTGTTTACTTATTTTCACCATCTTCCACAGTATATATGATGAAAGAAGAGAGATAAAGGAGGAGATGCAAGTTCCCCTCTTTCCTACAGCTAGTTTGATTTTTCAAAGTAACCTATTAGACGTCTTTTTTATCCAAGTTTAAAATATTTTCTCTACTAATTCACATTTTAAAAACCCCTACAGCATATACTTACCCAATAATCTTTGAAAAAAAATTGATTTAGATGTTTTCTCAAAAATATTTGAAACTGCATTTTCACCCAGCATCCGAGAGAAAAAATGCAACCACAGTAAACCAAAGTTTAAAAACTATAAACACAAAATTAAAGACCTACCAAATCCTCGGGGATCTGAATTGCCATTGTGATAAGACTGCTTTTCATCACTTTCAGTGCCCCAGTTGCTGTAAGAAGTAATTATTACATATTGAAGAAAAGCATCAAAATTAACAAATCATAAATGTTCAGTTTCCCCAGGAGGGTAAGTTCTTTCTCCTAAGAAACCAAAGAATTTCATCTGCTGGCTGCATTCATTAATCAAGATTTTCCCTAGTCATGAGCTCTTGGGATAAGCTTGGGGCTAATCCAGTTCATGTTCACAGGCCTTCACTAGTATTCAGGGTCCACATTTGAATGAGCTGGAAATATTCCTGTCTCATTCAGATAAGAAAAAAGGTTTTGCTGCATGAGACAGTTTATCTACCCATCACTGGGGAACAAAAAGTGAGGGTAGCAGGTCCTGGAGCTAAGAAAGACAGTGGGAGATTTGGGAGATTCTATCTGCACAATTACAATAATTAGTAGCATTAACCAAATTGTCCTGTTTACAGGAAGTGTATGTTTTGACTTAATACCTCTTTTGATTAGATTCCAAAAGCAATAGTTATCTATTACTAGGATGTTTTGGGGATCCAAAAAAAAAGGTCTAATCACATTGGGTTTTCCTAAATTCCTCACCTAGGTGTCAGGCATACTCATATACTGAAAATAGAGCAAGGACTGTTTCATATTTATGTACCACTGTTCACCTAGCAGTTTGAAAGAGCTCTGAAGTGAGGCAGATTAAGCTTTCCAAGTATCTAATCTCAGCCATATTTTAAGGCTCTATGACAGTGAAGATGTATCCACAGTAACGATTAATTTTTTTATTCAATCCAATAGGATTTACACTTATCCAATTCAGTTATCTAAATGTCATCTCTCATTATATAAATACTTACTGTGTCAGTTCGAGTGTAGCTTTTCTAGAAAAGGTCCAAGGTGTTCTCTCCGTTTTATCTTTTGGGATATCGTTTTTATCTTCATAGCCCAGGAAATACAGTGAGAACTTCATAGTAGGAAAGTCAAATTTTTGAAGCAGTCTAAATGGTAACAATTATTTTGAAACAATAACTTAAACAGTAACTTAAAAGGGTGATCAGGTAGGTTCTGCTATGGAAGAATTATTTCTGTGAATTTTTGCCTTTCTGTAATTCACATCTTAAAATAGCTACATTTTAAACTATCAAATAAAACCATCCAGAACCCATTACAAACCTACAAAAATTAGAAGAAATAGATTTTTAAAGGCAGAGTACCAGTAAGTAAATAGCAAAGTCAGTACATAGGCTTGGGCCTTGAGGTTGTCACTCTGTTACTTGTCTGTATTTCCACAGGAAGATCTTTAACAACTTATTCTTTGGTGAAATTTTAAACTTACGCATTTTGAAGAGGTCACTGGCATCAGACAAAGTTTTAAGAACACAGCAAACATACCTTTAGATGAAATATTTTTATGATTTCAATAGCTAGCTATAATAATAAAATTGATTTCCAATGTGACAATTTAATCAACTAAAAAATACTTGAGGCATACATTTTTATGTAGAACATTTAACTGGAACAAGTAGGCACATAAAATGAATCTAATTTCTTTTTCAGCTTGCAAAGTACTTAATTTTTTTTTACACATTTTCACTACAGTGGAAGTACTTTATTTTACTTTAATTTGGACTCTTTTCAATATATTTAAAAACACAGTGGAATTTTGTTTTGAAATAAGTCACATCAAATGGCAAGAAAGTGCAAAGAGGCTCAGCATGAACTCATTAGACTACTGCAGGGCATCTGCCTCCCAAAAGCCTTCTTCAAAAGACTGAGTTTGGACCTTCTCTCCTGTTGCCTTGTTCTTTTATAACTGGAGGTGGTCATCAGCCACCTCTGAGAACTAGTAGAAAACTTAATTTGAAGATTTATAGCAATGACCCCTGATTAGAAGCACTGCCATAACAATTGCCAGTTAGCTGCAGCCTCAGCGAGGAGGAAGTAAGCAAGTTGTACACTGATAATTAATGACCTATTTAGGAAAAAAAGAAACTTCTAGTCAAGGCCTATATTAGCTCATTTGCAGCTTAGGCATTAACTATGCTATTGGAGTCCTCAGAGACCCTGCCAGACTGTCTAACTGAGCATCAGCTGATGGGCCAGCATTGTTTATGTAGTTGGACCAATTAGTATAATTACATCAAAATAAAAAAAAAAAACAACAGGAGGAAAACACAGGTTTATTGTGGCATATAACTTCTACTCACGTCATTCCAAGAACCCTTGTATAAAAATCCAATGACTTCTTAGGATCTTTTACTCTTAACATTGTCTGCTGGAACATAAAATCCTGTGGGGAAGAAAGGTTTATTATTTACACACCAACCAAAATTGAATTATGGGTAGTAACAAAGTTAGTAATGAATCTAAAACCAGTAGGTTCAGAAGTAACAAACAGAGGACTACATTAAGGGTAAATAAAACTTTTTGTCCTGATCCTACACATACAGATTTTTGTTAAACCAATATGCCTTTGTAACATAAGGTTTAAAACAAATAAAACCATGACTGATATCACTCAATATATATTATCAGTGGTATCAAAAAACAGTATTCTTCTTACATTTATTATTCTTTTATGGAGCTGTAGAACACATGAACAACTTCACATGCAAGCAGATCAGATATGTGAATATTCAGTATTGGGCCTCACTGCAGACATAGAATTTAAATACAGATAAACTCCTGAACTCATCATTTTTATTATTTCATTGCGCAGGTGTTGAATTTCTGCCAAGCTTGGTGATATCTCAGCAGCAAAACCAGGCTCCAACTCTGTAAGGATATTTTCTTGGAGCCACAAGGCAACTCTAAATACCAGGGGGCTTGTGAACGACTAAGTGGGTAAAAAGCGAACGGTAGGACAGCAGACAGAGGTAATGAGAGGAGGGGGAAAAAAGGCAGATGTAGAACCACTGAAATGCAATTACGTTCTTCTAATAAAAAAGTAACAATGTTTGGGGTGTTTGGGGGTTGCTTTTGTTCGGGGGCTCACAGCAGCCGGCCCGGCCCGCCCGCCCCCTTCGCCACCCCCCTCAAACCGCGCCAGGCCGGTCCCGCCGCTCAAGCCGTCAAGGCAGCTCCGTGCCGAGCGACCCCCACCGGGACCCTTCCCGGCCCCATGCCGCCTCCCATCCACCGCACGTCCGCCCTGCAAAGAGCGGCGCGGGGACCGGGGAAAGGCGGGCACCGGCGCCGCCGCAGAGCAGCCGCCTGCAGCCCCGGGGCTCCCGCGTCACCTCCACCCACCCCACCTTCGTGCTGGCATCCGGCTCCGAGCAGGCGCCGTAGGCTGCCTCGTCCGTGAGCCCGCTGGGTTCTGCGGGGGCCGCCATGTCGGGAGAGGGAGAGACGGAGGAGGAGAAAGAGGAGGAGCACGACGCGGCGGGAAGGCGTAGCTGCGGCCCGCCCCGCCTCGCTTGCTGCCGGGCCCCTCCCTCGCAAGGGAGCCCGTGGAACGCTGTGAGGGTGTATGGTCAGGTTCCGAACAGGGTTCTGCCTGTTCGTTCGTTCGTGATATCGAGCCTCTCAAGATTTGAATCAAACTTCGTATGCTTGGGTAATCTTTCTGTTTTACGAAAAAGCGAAGAGAATCCCGAGATGAGTGGGCTATCTGGACGATAGCCATCAGGAGTGAAGTCAGCAAAACTGAGCAATAACTGGGACAAAGGTAATTCCGACAATCATGACCACCGACTCATTGACCACCTACTCAAAACAGACCCCAAACTCAAATGGAAGGAAGAACCGCACCTGCAGAATAATTAGCATGAGAAGAGAGAGCTACAACTAACAAATAGGGGATTAAATACTAATTAATAGAAAAGTTGTGTAATTTGTAACCAATTAATGCTGATGCCTTTGTTCATTGAAATGTATGAATAGTGTAAAATTTGGATGATCAGGGAGCCAGCCTTTCATGAGTTACAACCCAGCTCCCTACTTTGCGCAAACTAGAATAAAAAATAGAAATACCTCGCCTTGATGTGTGAATGGGTGCTGTGCACCCGGTAACAAGCCCACGATCAGGACAACATAAGGAGCCTCCCTGAGGAAGGAGCCTCCCTGACTGTGGCGTTACTTAGCTGAAGCGTGGAATGAAAGCATGGATCCCTCATGCTGACCTGATGATACATTCCTCCAGCTTCCATCTTCCACCGGCAGGCCGAGGGTATCACACCAGCACCTGGGCAGGCACAGGCACTGTAACCCAGCTCCATTTGAATGGTGATGCTTTTGTAAATCCTGGTGGGATCAGGCTGGTTGGGAATCCTAGCCTTGCCCTGTTCACAAACATACATATGGTGTGCTCAATATAATATGTTACCTCATTAATGTTTATTAATTAAAATATTTAAAGAGGGGGTGCCAAGAGGATGAAGCCAGGCTTTCCTTGGTGGGGCTGAGCAATAGGACAAGAGGCAACAGGCAGAAATTGGTGCACAGAAAGTTCTACCTAAATATCAGGAAGAACTTCTTTACTGTTTGGGTGACCGAGCACTGAAACAGATTACCTAGAGAGGTTGTGGAGTCTCCCTCAACTGGAGATATTCAAGAACCACCTGGATGCAATCCTGTGCAGTGTGCTCTAGGATGACCCTGCTTGAGAAGGGAGGTTGGACCAAACGACCAACTGTGGTTCCTTCCAACCGTACTAATTCTGATTCTGTGATTTGATATTGACAGAGGTTGGTTTCTGCTTTTGCCTCCAGGCACTGGGAGAAGATTCCAAGTAGCATTTGTCACCCTTCAGAGTTATGCAGTGACCATTAGTATAATCAATCATTTCAGGCCTAAGAAAGATGAATAGTATTTTTCTCAAAAACTCAGCATGAAAACCAGGATAGAATACTCTGTGGGGGGGAAAAAAATTAAAAATTAACTTTTGATAATCGAGAGGAAAGCACTTGCAGTGCAGCGTTCCCTCTGCCTTACTCAAGTAACTTCCATCGGCGCATTCAACCACACCAACCCCGCGGGCAGGGGGGAACCCACGGGACCCCCGTACACGAGACCTTTACGGTAGAATGACAGCTTCTGGGGGTCGAACTTCGGCCGGTCCTGCGCGGGGCCGCAGCGACGCGCGGGCACAGCGAGCGGGCGCCGGCAGCGCCTCTGCGGCTCCCGGGCCGGCGGGGGGGCCGCGGGCGGCAGCGCCGCCTCAGCCCCGCGGCCACGGCTCCCGGGGGGGCGTTGGAAACGCTGGCCCGAACCCCGGCCCGAACCCCGGCCCGAGACCCGGCCCGAACCCCGGCCCGAGACCCGGCCCGAGCCCCCGCAGCTGTTACGGGTCCGCTGCGACCCCACTCCAGGATCTCATCTGCCCGGCGAACGCCCGGGCGCGGGAGGAGTCGCAGGCGGGGAGGAGCGGGCGCTGGGCGTTGGACCGCCCGCTCCGCCCGCTGAAGGGAGCGCCGGCGGGCGCTGCGCTGCCCCGGCGCTGCTCCCGGCTCCCCGCCCTGCGAGGAGGCATCGCTCCGGCGAGGTCGGTGAAGCTCTTCGCCTGAATCTCTCTGCCAAAGCTGAAGTGCCGGTTAAGGCACTTCAGCTTTCTAGAGGAGAGTCAAAAGGCCGTACTCTCCGTGCTCTGTGCTTAGGAATGCTCCACTTTCCTCCCTCACCTCATCCTTCTTCAGCCCTCCTAAGATGCATGCTGGAAGCCAGACCTACTCTCCTTGAATGAATAGGTCCTGTAGACAAGGTTTTGGGCATTCTGGAGGGGAGGAAAGGGGATTTTGGCATAAAAGCACATCTGCTGTTCCAGATGGGAGAGGTGGGCAGCTGGAGTTCATGCAGGTTTTTGAAAAGTGAAAATCTCAGCTGAGCCACCATATAATCTTGAGTATAGATTTTGGAGAGCCAGGGAGGATGGCAGTATACAATGAAGTCTTTGTGTTTTTTTTTAAAGAAAGCTGTGAGAACCCCACCTCTTTTATCTTGGGCTTTAGGGACTTTAGGGGAAGGTATCAGCTAAAAGAGAACTAGTTAAAAGGCTAGAAAATTAACATCTAACCTATTGTGCCTGAGTGGAATAATCAAGGAGGAAAGTATCCCTGCTAACCTTGTAGACGACCAGGCCAGTCATAGAAAAAATGAAGAAAAAACAAAGGAATATAATTAATTAAGGTGTTTTTTTTTCCCTGAAATTTGTTTGGGGTGGTTTTTTCGGTAGTATTTTTACTTCAAGAGACAGATGAATATTTTCTCTAGCAGGTGATCGTATGCCAAAGACCGTAGAATAGTGGCCACTTTGTCACCTATTACATCAACAAAAATAAGGAGCTAGTAGTGTAATACCAAGTGTTGCTTTTCAGGTCAACCTCACCTTTGATTGTTTATTTCTTGAATCAGGCAATAGTGTCTAAGAGAGTGTATAACACTGTTACATCTGCGATTGGCTGCCCTAAGGCCCTCACGAGAGCTACTAAGGAATTCTTGATAGTTATTGTAATCCTTGTTGTAGTAGTACGCTGAGTAGAATAGCAATTTCTGTGTATACAAGTTTTTTGTGAGATCAGTTGCTGAATTTGTGTATATATTTTAGAAACTAAAATTTAAACAAACCATTTGTACTCTAAACCATTTCTATTTCTCAGTAATCAGATATGCACTGAAAGTATTAATATTTTAAACCATATTTGTTATATAGAAAGATTTTCACTCCACAGAACATAAATGTATGATAAATTGATTTTAAAAAATGTTTTCAATCTTCAGCTTGACATTTGCAAGCTATCATAAAATGTATCTAAATGTCTGATAAGAACTGGAAGAGTACTCTATGCGACTACTGAATTTATATCCTTGGGAATTCATTTTTGAGATGCTCCTGTCTTCTTGAAAAGGTAGACTTTAAATGTCTGGATTGTTATAAACATTTTTGGTTTTTTTGCAAATTTCAGATTTCAGAATGGAGGGGGCACAAAAAAGTAATAAAGGAGGTTCAAACCCTCGAGAAAATGCTGGGAGTAATCGCACTGGTTCTGTCATGAAATCAGAAGATGCCGTAGCCAGAACTACTCACCCTGCTCAACGAACAGGAAGCGTTTCCTCTTCTCGTGGATCTTTTTCATTTGGAAGTCAAAGTTTGTCTAAGATTTACCGCCCTAGTGGAGCGACAAACATACAAAGTTCCAAAGCAAAACAGGTTATAAATTTTTTCAGATAATTAAATACAGTTTATATAAACAGTTAGTTTTGGGGTTTTATTTTTATTTTTTTTTTATTTCTAAATTTCCTTATACTCGATTCTTTTACTAAATTATTTCTGATAGAAAGTGTGTCTTTGTTTTCAGTGTTAGTAATATTCTAAGATTTTATTTTAAAGTAATAGAGGAAGGAAGAAGGAGATATTAATTGAATCATTTACATTGAAGCAAAGCTCTACTCTATTCCTGCAAATATTTACCCATGTTTTGACCTTTCTGTATTAATATAATAAATTGAAATTTTGATAGTGAAAAATAAAATCGGTTAATATGTCACAGAAATATTTTAAAATCTAGCTAGTAGTATTTTTAATATTTGTTTTTCCTTGACATATCCTTAGAGTTGAATTTACATCTTATAATAATTCTTAATTATTTGTTCTTCTGTTAGCCTCTGAAAGTTTAGTTATTTTTAAAGAGTAGGGCATTTATGTAGTTGTATAATACAAGACAGTAGATTTCAGCATTAATTGCAAGTTAAATAGATCATTATTGTGATCATTTTGTGTATTTTTAGTTTGAAAGATATGTTTCATGTTTTAGGCTCAATACATACAAGCAAGAGAAAATCGAAAAGCACAAGTTAATGCTTCATATAAATACATATTTGAAGTTCTCAGTGCCAGGATAGGATTAGACTTAGCAACTGTGGAAGAAATGATTTTGGATGCCCCTTCGGTGAGTCTGTTCTGTATACTTGTTGGTTTAAATTGTTAGTTAAAATATGTAGCAGATTACCTATTTGATTTGAATTGTTATTGATCACTTTGATTGTTTCTGTCAGAAAATGTGATTATTAAGGCACACAACTCATCTAAAAGGATACCTGACTAAATCTTTCAGCTTGGTTTCCTGGCAGATCTGCAAATATCCCCAAGGTTTTTGATTGTGGCTTTTTCATCTTTCTTATCTCAAGGAAAATATAAATACTGCTGTTGTTTTGACTGAGGAATTTCTGGTCACATCTACCAGTTCCAACAATTTTATTCATCTCAACCTGACATTATTATGTTCTAATGATGATCATTTTTATTTGTTAAGCAAGTTCTCACTGAAACTCCAAAGATTCTGCAAAAACTTCGTGGGAAAATTTTGAAAATTAGGAGTGTTGTTAGTAATAAGAAGGGCAATTAATTAATCCTACATCATTTAAATACTATAATGACATTTGGAAAGACCCACTGAATAATTTCAGTTTTGAGTGCTTTGTTTATTTTTAAATGTTTTTTTGTGATACATAGCATTTCCAGTTTTAGTTTATTCATAAACAATTTAGGCTGTTGGGGCTGTGTTAACACTGTCCTTCAATGAATTGTCATTTAGTAAATTGCCATATACATACCATGTCTTTGGCATCCATGAGCTAGGTTTAACCCTTTAAAACATTAGCCTGCATATGTATTCACACAGTGAGTGTGGGTACCACATGGACTTGAACCAGAAGCTCTTTGCAGAATCAGTAGCTGCAGTGACAGCTCCTGTCTTACCTTGGATGTAGAACCATAGAACCCCAAGAATTAATTTGCCTTTCTCTTTTGTCAGTGAGCTTTCAGTACTTTAACAATTTTCTTTTTTTTCCCTTATTTTTGGGGTGGAGATTTTTAATGTGTTTTTCTCAGTTTTAACCTTGTTATTCACTAGTACCTAGTAACCAAAGCAAAATTGATTTCTAGAGCTGGCTTACTTTTGCTTCTTTTATTTTCACGTGATGTTGTCTTCTCACAAGAGTGGGTTTAAATCCTGTCCACCTGGGTGTCACTCATTTTCCTATCACTGTTCTGATTCAGTTTTTTATATTTGTTTATAAGAAACATAAACTCCTAAGGAATATACCACATCTAGAAGTGCATCCTTTGTCCTTGAACAGGTGATTTGTCTCCAGACATACTTGCTTGCTAAATTTCTGATGTTTTTCTGTTGGGAGGGAAACAGAAGGTCTCAGTTTGACAGACAGTTTGAATGCCCAGCCACATCTTGTTGAGCTAGTTGTCCTTGCAGATACTTACAGAGACTGTGAAAGAAGCTGGATTTTGACCAGATCAGTCAATATCTTCTGATCTCCTCTGTGCCTTCTTTCAGTGCTTTTCAGAGCTTTGTTCACTTCCTATTAAATCCCATATCCTGGTCTTACCAGGACACACAAATTGTCTAGGACAGTTTGAAAATTTGGATTTTTGAAACTCTAGCTGTAATTTCAGGCAAGTTCTTCAGAATGACAATCCATACACAAGCAGTGTTTGTTACAAAGCTTTCCATCCTTGCACCGTCCAAAGCACCTTGTGTAACATGACAAAATCAAAATGGACATCTAGAGACCTGTAGTCTCTACTACACCTTTTAGGGTGGCCAGTTTATGGACAGGTACAGCAAGCTAATTATGAGGCAACACGGTCTCCCTCAGGTGTGATCTCATTGTCCTTCCAGAGGTCAGCAAAATCTTTGTCATCATGGAAAACTTTTGGAGCCAATGTGGCCAGTTCATGTCTCCAGAATAAAATGTTCGCATGTCATGTTACTCTTCTTACATGAATTAATATTTTACATTAAGGCATACAGTAGCAATAGCAGAATATGTCAAGTCATGGAAATGTTCTGTGAATGTTTCTAAGTCTCATATGACCAATTACTTCAAGTTGGTACTTACTGGTCTCTGTGAGTGGCAGATATTCTCCAATATCTCTGTGTTACTGGACAAAATCATAAATGTTTGATGCACAGTAACCAGGAGCTAGGCCACCTGTGTGTGGTTCAGTACTTGAAGGTAATATTTGAAATATCTAATATGCTGTTTTGTATCTTCTCACAATATTTGAGGATAAACCTTGCATTCCAACAAAACTTTAAAAAGCAGCATGGTGAAATTAGTTTTGCATCTCCTAAAGGCACATAAAAATATTTTGAGTAACAAGTATTTACTTTTGATTTA